TAATCATAAATTCTATTGAATAGTCCAATTAATTGTACCAACTTATAGATTTAATTCAATAAAATGAGCCATAAGCCTTTTAATTTTCAATGAGTCACTGACTCATCACAACCCCAAACTTAGAATGATTGCTTGTCTTTAAGCAATTTTCTTTTCTTTTCCACATGAATAAGGTAATTTTCCAAAATTTTGACTCATACTTTCAATTAACCCTCTTGCACCAACCAAATTAATTCTTAAAATTCACAAGCAATTTCTTAAATATTTGACACCACAACTAAATTAAATTCCCTCTCAGGTCAGTGTTGCACTCTTTGTTGCTCAAGTGTTTGGCTTGAGTTTAACTCTCTTCAATGCCTTTGCTGCTATTCTTTAACACATATTTGTCAAATTTTTAATTCACACTATCCATGCAATCAGTTATAATTAAGAGGGCTTTATAAAGGTTAAAATGTGGTCAAGGTTCAGTTGGAAAAACAATTTAGTCATTGGCTATTCCTTATATCAGAAAAAGCATGAGTGATTGGTGACTCATATTTTGTTCCCACATTTATAGTCTTATTACATCCTTTAGATGTCCTTTCATTCCTTATTTCTTCCATTTAGTTTATTTTTGCATTTCTCACGTTAATTAGGAATTTTTATAAATACTCATTTTTTTTGTTCATGTTTTCTATTCTAACCTTTGTTTACTAATTTGGCCATAACTTTTTCTGTAGATATCTTTTTTGGCTGATTCTTTTTGCACTGGATTCCTTACTTCTGGAGCTTCAATTTGGACATATAGATCATGCTGTTTGGAGTTCAAAGCTATTTTATACGAATTTTAGAAGTTCATACTTTTAGCTGACTTTTGTATTGATTTTGTATTGCTTGTATTTTTGCAGTTTTGCTATATTTATTTTCGGCCCAGCCCTGACCCATTCATTTTTTATTCTTTTAGAACTAGTATTTAAAGAGGTCAGGGGCTGATTTGGAAGCACACTTAATTCATTTTTTTGGTTGTTCTGTTTTGTAAACTTTCTCGCTTCCAATAAACCTCTCATTTTTTTTTGCCTATTCTTCCATTCTCTTGCACCTTTTAGAATTCCGCTGCAACTTGATTTACAATTACGATTGAAAGACATTTAAGATTCTGCAATTTTGATTTGTTTCCTTCTGCTTTTCGCTCTCAATTGCGTCATCAAGTTTCAGATCGCACTTGCTTAAGACGTTTATGATTGCTCCAAGTTTGTTTTCTAACCTTACATTTTTGCGATTGCATAGGAAGTATAATTCGATTGAGTTGTGCCTCCTTTTCTTGATTGTTGTGCATAAGAGATTTAAGCAAATTTGATATAATCAATTCACGTTTGTGTTTGTGTTCTGGATCTTGGATTGTGTGTTTGTGTTTTTGGTTTTCATTCTCAGTTTATCATTCTCAATTTTGAATCTCATTTTCGGCTCAGTTGCAATTTATTTTACTTGCATTGTAATTTACATTCATTGTTAATTCAATTTGCATTTGTTGTGCATAATTTAATTCTCTACAATTTTTTTATGAATTAATCACAAACTCCCCCAAACATATGACCTTTTTTGTATAATTGATATTGAAACAATGTGCTTTTGCATCCTTGTGAGAGATGACCTAGGTTGCTCCCTAAACTGCATGTTTATGAAAAATCTAGCTTAGTTTTGATACTAGTACGACATGGATGTTAAAAATGGCGCCGTTGCCGAGGATGCATATCGTTTTGTTTTCTGCATTCTGCATTTAGAATTTTCTGCACAAGAAAAAAAATATATTTTGTGTAGTTCGATTATTTTGCATTCTGTGTTGAATTTTATTCTGTGATCTGTGATTTGTGTTCTATGTTTAATTAGTTTGCATTTGGTTGTGTTGTACTCATATCTGTAGTTCTGTTTTGCTATACAATTGTTCTATTGTATTAATGTTTGATTGTGCATTCTGTTATTGAATCAATTTGTGTTGTATTGTATGATGTATTCTAATTGTAGTATAATTCGTGTTTGAAGTGTTTGATTGATTCCTATATGTATGTGATACCATATTGTATGTTTACATGCTGAAAACAGAGAAACAGAGCAGTAGTAGAAATAGATTTTTCCCTTGTACATAGGTTGCTGATTGCATTGTTCACAATACTATTCATGCACTATTCATTTAGTTCTGAAAACTTTTCAAAAAAATAGTTAGAGATCAAATTTTGACCTGAATTTTTGTTTCCACATTTCTTTTAGTGTCTATTAGTGTGTAGAGTTGGTAGATTTTGAAAACCATTTGTAGAGGAAGAGATACACTTTGGTGGTGAAGAAAATTTTTGTGAAACTTGTAAGTCCTATAACTTTTGCTAGAAAACTCAGAATTGAGTATATGCATTTGGGGTAAAAAAAAATTTCCTATGCAATGCAACCCACTCTGCTGGTTGAGGCTGCCCTGATTTTTAAAAATTGCATGTTTTCTAAATTTTTTTTTTTCAGCATTTATTGACCAATTTTTCTTGACTTTAGGCTTCTAGTTTACATATCAAATTAATTCAAAAAAATTCTAAAAATTGTTGTGGTGTTATCTTATACCAAATAGAGATTTATTAAGGTCTCGTTTCATCCATATCTTGCATTTTGATGGTACTTGCTTTGTTAACTAACCCTGTTCACTTAGGAAGTGTGTGCTGTTTTTTGTGGTTCTAACCTTGCATGACCAGGTCTAATCCAAGCATACTACATTCATTTGATCCTGAGATTGAAAGAACATGATTAAGGCTTTTGAAATTAAAGAGAGAGCACAACACTACTCATAGTCAGTTTACTTCACAGTCAAGCAACATGGCAAACAACTAGGAGAGGATCTTCAAGGAGCTTGCTGCCCCTGATGTTGGCCACCAATCATTGTGTATTTAGATGCCACAATTACAAGAGGATGCAGCAAGTTACAAATTAAAATATGGTCTTATTCATTTGCTTCCTAAATTTCATGGTCTTGTAGGAGAAGATCCACACAAGCACTTGAAGGAGTTCCATATAGTTTGTTCTACCATGCGGCCAGTGGATGTGCCTGAAGACTTTGTGAAAATGAAGGCATTCCCATTATCATTATGTGACACAGCCAAGGATTAGCTTTACTTGCAGCCAACAACAATCACAACATGAGATGACATGAAGAGGAGATTCTTAGATAAATTCTTCCTTGCATCCAGAACCACAGCCATAAGGAAAGTGATGAAACGAATTTAACTACTCGTCATGCAAAAGATTGTCGTTAATCCTCATCAAATATGCAAAGAAATGAATGCAGTACTAGGGTGTTGTCCTAGGTCGTCTCCAAGGAATTTTTGGTTGGGAACATACATCGAACAAGTGTAAACATGGATTTTAAAGCAAGTAAATTGGGGGGAGGTTTGTCAATTTCCATATTTAAATCAAGAACGAAATGTGAATTAATGAAATTCAATCAATTAAAATGAGTAATCCCTAGTCAAGCAATGAGTTCCATCATTATTCTTTCAAATGATTCAATAATCCCCTTTCTTTCTCTTGAATTAAGTTAATCTAACAAGCGAAGACTAACTTTAATATCCCAATTAAAATTAAGCATCTTAATGGGCTCCAATCTCTATTCCTAAGATTAAGCAACCTCAAGGATTAATCAAAATTAAGCAATTTTGAATTATAATTTTGTTAGGTAAATTAGGGTTCATTAAGCAATGTTCCCTTCATGCAAATTCCATTTCATTCAAAGATTGGGGTCAATAAATTCAAGGAAAGAAAGATTTATATTGCAATTAATCCCAAGAATTCAAGATTCATGTGCATTGACTAGGAATTACAAGGAAGTTTAGCCCTCCATATGGATGGGCTTCACAAATAAGAGAAACAAATGCAAGAACGTAAACAACATTAATGTAAATTTAACAAAAATCAAAAGGGAAATTGGAAATTAAAACCTATAGAGGACCCTTGGCTGTCACCAAAGACTCCAATGTCGTAAGAAATTGTCTCAATTTGGCAAAGGAAAAATGTGTAAAGTGTCAAAAGTCCCGTACCCTAATTCCTAAAATCTATTTATAGTGGATGACATGTCACCAAAGTGTCCACTTTTGCCTTTGAAAGTGTCCACTTTGGGCCTTGAAAGTGTCCACGCGCAGGATGGAAGGGTTGCCACTTCTCTGGAGTTGCCACTATTTGTGCTGAAAGTGGCTACTTTGGTGCGTGTGGCTACTATGAGAGCCAATAGTGTCCACGCGCAGAAATGCTTCAAAATTAGCGTTCTGGAGCTTCTGGAGTTGTCACTATTGGTCTTGAAAGTGGAAACTTTGGATGCACGTAGCCACTTTGAAAGGCAATAGTGGCCACACGCATCATGCTTCAAAATTGGCGTCCTTGGAGCTTCTGGAGTTGCCACTTTTGGGCTTAATAGTGGCTACTTTGGAACCTTTAATGCCCAGACTTGCTGTAGTTGCCACTTTTGCTCCTAAAAGTGGCTACTTTGGGGGCAACTTTCATCCAAGGGCCAATATTTCTCAAAATTAACTTGGGGACTCTGCAAAATTATTAAGATAATTAAAATTGCAATCTATATCTATGTAATTAAATGCAAATTAACCAAAAATTAATAAACCTATAATATTTACTCAAAATGTAATTTCTATATTATTTGCACTATCTAAGTCCATTTTTTCTATCAAGAAGCACCAAAAAGGTAAGTAAAAATATAATAAAAAGTGAATTCATCATAAAGAAATTAGTGGCATTAGACTGCTACAAGGAGAGAGTTTATATGAGTACTAGGAGAGGTTCAACAAACTTTGTTCAACCTGTCCAAATCATCAGATAAATGAGCAGTTGTTGATTCAATACTTCTATGAAGGGTTGATGCCTATGGAGGGCAGAATGATTGATGCAGCTAGTGGAGGTGCTTTGGTGGATAAAACTCCTACAATGCAAGGTATTTGATCTCCAACATGGCAAAAAATTCTTAACAATTCAGTTATAGAAACATGACCACGAGAGTTGTACATGGGGCAACTACAAGCAGTGTTGTTGCAGTTGATAACCAAAGGCTGGAAAATAAGCTCACTGAATTAACTTTCTTGGTGAGGCAAATGGCCATGGGCCAGGCAGTGCCACAGATCCAGCAAACATGTGGTATTTCTGTAGGTGATCATTATACAGATTCTTGTCCTTAGCTGTAGGAGACATCACAATCTTCTCATTTGGTAGAAGGCATACACCCTCCTTATCAGAGCACCACCAACAACAGTCTCAGAAGCAGTGTAATCCTTTCTCCCCTATATATAATCCAGAGTGGAGAAATTATCCCAATCTAAGGTATGGTCCAGGGCCAACACCACAACAGCAGCAGAAGTATACTTATCACCAGCAACAGCAGCCTGCACATCCTCAATACCAACAGCTAGTACATCACTCTATGGAGCAACCAAAGTATTTGCCCCCTCCTTTGAGACAGCAGCCTGCATAGCAAAACCAAGCTCAACAACAGCCTCCTGCGTAGCCAAGTAATGGACCTTCCTTGGAGGAGTTGATCAGCCAGATGGCCACTCAGAGTCTGCAGTTTCAGCAGAACGTTTCAGCCACCATTCAAGACTTATAGACCCAAATTGGACAACTAGCTACCTCAGTGAATAATTTGCAGCAACAAGGGTCTGGAGCACTTCCTTCTCAGCCTGTGGTTAATCCTAAAGGTAATGTGAGTACTATTACTCTGAGAAGTGGCAAGGAACTGACCAATTATTTAGTGCAAACCAAAATAGTTTTTGATAAATGTGTGAAGTCCAGTGAAGGTAGTGGAAGTGAAGAGGGAGTCCTAGACAATTCTATGCAGCAGCAGCAGATTCCCCTTCCTTTTCCATCCAGAGCTTCTAAATCAAAAAGAGTAGAAATTGATCAAGAGTTGCTGAATGTCTATTAAACAGATTCCTCGGTATGCAAAATTCTTGAAGGAGCTTTGTACTTATAAGAGGAATTTGAAAAAGAGGAAAGTCCAGACAGTTTCATCCTTGTCTCGGTCTAGCCTTCCACAGAAATGTGGTGATCCAAGAACATTCTCCATTCCTTGCACAATTGGAGAATCCTCTTTTGCTAGTGCTTTGCTAGATCTGGGAGCTTCTATCAATGTCATGTCATCAGCTGTGTATACAATGTTGCATTTGGGAGACTTGAAACCAACCAATGTGATCATTCAATTAGCAAACTGAAGCACAGCTCAGCCTTTGGGAGTGCTTAAAGACGTGTTGGTAAAAGTTAACCAATTGATTTTTCCAGCTGATTTTTACATTCTTGATATGCGTGATGAGAACTCAACTTTGATTCTGCATAGACCATTTTTTATTATTGCGAAGACCAAGATTGATGTTCATACAGGCAAATTGTCTATGGAGTTTGGAGATGACACAATTCATTTCAATATTTTTGATGCCATGAGACATGCAGCTGAGAGCCCTTCTATGATTTCTGATTGTTCTGATTATTCTATTTTTCTAGTTGATATAGTAGATAGAAATGTTGATTTTGATGATGATATTGATGTTATAGGTTCTGATATTGATGTTGATATAGATTTGGATTCAGATTTTGATTTGTCTCAGTTTTTAGATTTTGATTTTGATGTTTTACTAGGCTGCACTTGTAATAGTGGCATATGTTCTATTTGTGCTGAGATTGATACTGTCATATCTTCTATTGTTCTACCTTCTGTTGCAGGTATAGGTCCAAATTCTGTTATATCCATGGCTACTGCAACTCCACAGCCTCCATTATCATTTATTCAGTAGCCGCCTTCATTAAAGTTGAGTCCTCTGCCAAACCATCTTAAATATGCCTATCTGGACGCAGAGCAGAGGTTCCCAGTGATTATTTCCAGCAACCTTCTGGAGGACCAGGAGAAGAAGCTGCTGCATGTCCTAAAGGTGCATAGGAAAGCCATTGGTTGAACCTTGACTGACATTCCTGGAATCAGTCCAGCTATATGTATGCACAGGATTCACTTAGAGGATGAGTCTAGACCAGTGAGAGAGTCCCAAAGAAGACTCAACCCTACCATTCTTGATGTAGTAAAGAAGGAGGTGACCAAGCTACTGATGACTGGTATCATCTACCCCATTTCTGATAGTACATGGATTTCACCTGTCCAAGTGGTGCCTAAGAACTGGGATCACTGTTGTGCAGAACCAAGAGAATGAGGTGGTTCCCACCAGAGTTGCCAATAAATGGAGAGTATGTATTGATTATAGGCGACTCAATCAGGCTACTAGAAAGGACCACTTCCCTCTCCCATCGATCGATCAAGTCATTGAGAGGTTAGCAAGTAAATCCCATTATTGTTTCCTGGATGGTTTCTCTGGTTATATGCAGATTCATATTGCTCTTGAGGATCAACACAATACCGCTTTCACTTGTCCTTTCAGCACTTTTGCCTATAAAAAGATGTCATTTGGCCTATGCAATGCACCTACTACTTTTTAGAGGTGTATATTGAGTGTATTTTCTGATTTAATTGAAAATTTCATGGAGGTGTTTATGGATAATTTTACTGTTTATGGTTCCTTATTTAATTCATGTTTACATAGCTTGACCAAAGTATTAGAAAGATGTGTTGAAACTAACATTGTGCTTAATTATGAGAAATGTCACTTTATGGTCAGGGAAGGTGTAGTTTTAGGGCATCTTATTTATGAGAGGGGAATACAGGTTGATAAAGCAAAAATTGATGTTATTTCCTCTCTGTCTTACCCCAAGTCTATGCGGGAGGTGCGTTCTTTCCTTTGACATGTAGGTTTTTACAGGAGATTTATCAGAGATTTCAACACGATTGCTCTGCCGTTGTCTAGTCTTTTGCAGAAAGACTACCATTTTTTTTCTATGATTCATGTAAGGAGGAGTTGAGGAGGAGACTCACTACAGCACCTATCATGCAGCCACCAGATTGGGAGTTCCCCTTTGAGTTGATGTGTGACGCCTCTGACTTTGCACTTGGAGCTGTATTATCTCAAAGAGTTGGTAAATTTCCACATGTTATTGCTTATGCCTCTAGAACTCTTAATGCAGCTCAGATAAATTATACCACTACTGAGAAGGAGCTGTTAGCTATTGTATTTGCATTAGATAAATTTTGTTCTTATCTGTTTGGCTCTAAAATAATTGTCTTTATAGATCATGTTGCACTGAAATTCCTATTGAAGAAGCCAGATGCTAAACCTAGATTGATCATATGGATGCTTCTTCTGCAGGAATTTGATATTGATATAAAAGACAGGAGTGCGTGTGTTGAATCAAGTTGCTGATCACTTGAGTCGTATTGAAGGGACCATTGACCCTTTACCTATTCGTGATTATTTTCCTAATAATTATTTATTTGCTCTGAATTCTATAGAACCTATACCCTGGTTTACTAATATTCTGAATTACTTGGTTACTTCTGTTGTACCTCCTGATGCATCTAGATCCCAGGTTGATAAGCTGAAAGTAATGCTAAATATTATGTCTGGGATGATTCATATCTGTGAAAATTTTGTAATGACTAGGTTATCCGTCAGTGTGTTCCTGACTATGAATTTTAGGATATTCTGCAATTTTGTCATGACACATCTATAGGAGGTCATTTTGGACCGCAGAGGACAGCTAGGAGAGTATTGGACAGCGAATTTTATTGGCCCACCATATTTTGGGATGCAGCTAGGTTTTCTGAGAGCTGTGAGATATGTCAGAAGGCAGAAGGGACTATCACTAGGAGGCATAAGATGTCTCACCAGCCCATTATTTTCTGTGAGGTTTTTGATGTTTGAGGCATCGATTTTATGGGTCCTTTTCCTATTTCTGCTGGATATTCTTACATCTTGCTTGCTGTTGATTATGTATCCAGATGGGTGGAAGCAAAGGCCACTAGAACTAATGATTCTAAAGTTGTTTCGAATTTTCTCTGTACTCACATATTTTGCAGGTTTGGTGTGCCTAAGGCTGTCATCAGTGATCAGGGAAGTCACTTCTGTAACAGGACCATAGCGGCATTGTTCAAGAAGTGTGGGGTTACACACAGAGTTGCTACACCATATCATCCCCAGACTAATGGACAAGCTGAGGTATTCAACAGGGAAGTCAAACACCTATTGCATAAGATAGTTCGCCCTAACAGGAAGGACTGGAGTAAGTTTCTAGATGATGCTCTCTGGGGTCAGAGGACAGCTTATCGGACACCATTAGGCATGTCTCCATTTCGAGTGGTGTTTGGTAAAGCATGCCGCCTTTCAGTGGAAATTGAGCATAGATCATATTGGGCTGTAAAGAGTTGTAATTTGACACTTGAGCAGGCTGGAATTGAAAGGAAGCTGCAACTTCAAGAGCTTAATGAGATACACTTGCAAGCCTATGAGAATTCTCGATTGTATAAAGAGAAAGTTAGGAGATTTCATGATACACATATTCTGAGGAAAGAGTTCTCTATAGGCCAGAAAGTGTTTTGTTCAACTCTCGGTTGAAATTGATTGCAGGTAAGCTTCAATCTAGATGGGATGGACCTTTTGCGATTACTTATGTTTTTCCCCATGGTGCAGTTGAGATTCAGGATGAAGCTACCGGTAAGACTTTTAAAGTCAATGGTCATTAGCTGAAACTATTCTAGGAGAGCAAACTAGTGGAGTCGACTCAGAACATAGTTGATTTGTGCTTAGTGGAGCCTACTTTGATGGAGGATGTTTCTACATAGGCATTTGGATCTTGGAGCATTGTTTTCTTTGACTTTTGTTTCTTCTCCTTATACTTTCCTTTACTTTTTCATGTATATTTTTGCACTTTATTTTGGACTACTTGCATATGTCTTCATTTTCTATTTTTTTTCCTACATTGCGAACAATGTTTGATTTAAGTGTGAGGGGAGGGAGTATTCCTTAGCATTTTGTTTCATTGGATTGGCTTGCTTTTAGATTTCATTTATGTGAGCAACTTTTCATTTGTCATTCTTAGTTGAAAGTTTCATAACTTGATAGACGTGTTTCTTGCATTCTGAGTTTAGCTAATTTTTCATGATAATTAGGTTTTGGATCATTGATTGGTAGAATATATGCCTTAGTGAGATTTGTTCACATATTTGTAAGTATTCTAGAACTTGACCTGATTATTTTTTATGTTATTTGTTCACATGCACTTTTGATATGATTTAGGCCTTCTTTTGATTTTAAGCTACTTAGCCAAATTGGCGTACTTTGCATTTATTCCATTTGTTTACGCCTTTGAGCCTTATTAACCTCTTTCTTGATGATTTTACAGCTCATTCCAAGCCATGTAACTTGAAAACCATGATGCACCCAACCTTTGGGAATAGATGAGCTTTGAAATTGTATTGGGAATTGGTTAAAAATAAGTGTGGGGGTGTTTTGTACATATTGCTTTATTCATAAAATCTTGAGAAAATTTTGATGCTTTGTAAGTTGATTGGACAAGTGGATTGTATAGAAATAGTGAAGTCACTGCAAAAAAAAAAAAATGAAAAATGTGATGCTTTATACACTTTTTCTTGTTTGTTGCTGTTTTTATTTTACTTATTTTTAACCCATTCCCCATTGCTCTTCTTTTCTCTTTGATTTTTAGCTTTGTACACTTTCTTTTATCTTACCTTTACCTTAGCCACATTACAAGCTTAATAAAAGTCCTATTGATCTTTGGTGCATGTTTCAAATGGTAGAAATTAGAGGCTCTTCAAGCCTATGGTAATGCTTACCTTTATGATGTATTTTGAGTGGAATTTCTTGCCTAAGCACTTGAGAGAATGAGTGATACACATCTTTGTGAGAATTTTACTGATTATGATCCATAATTTAATTAGACTGAAACTTTTCTTTACTTTTAATGTTTGGAGCACATTCTTGATTGTTTTGATTCTTCCATACTTTGATTGTTGGACTTATTTTTCTTGCTCGTATTACTTACACTTTAGGATCCATTGAAAAATTTTGCTTTGTGTTCATTCCTTCTTTTCTTTTGCTTGGGAGCCCAAAAACTTAAGTGTGGAGGTATTTGATGACTCATATTTTGTTCCCACATTTATAGTCTTATTGCATCTTTTAGATGTCCTTTCATTCTCTTATTTCTTCTATTTAGTGTGTTTTTACATTTTTCACATTAATTATGAATTTTTGTAAATACTCATTTTTTTTTTCATGTTTTCTATTCTGATCTTTGTTTACTAATTTGGCCATAACTTTTTCTGTAGATATTGTTTTTGGTTGATTCTTTTTGCATTGGATTCCTTACTTTTGGGGCTTCAATTTAGACAATGGATCGTGCTGTTTGGAGTTTAGAGCCATTTTCTACGAATTTTAGAAGTTCAGACTTTTAGCTTGACTTTTGTATTGATTTTGTATTGCTTGTGTTTTCAGTTTTCATTCTCAGTTTATCATTTTTTATTTTGAATCTCATTTTTGGTTCAGTTGCAATTGATTTTACTTTTACATTTATTGTTAATTCAATTTGCATTTGTTGTTCATGATTTAATTTTCTACAATTTTCATTTGAATTAATCAAAAACTCCCCCAAACATACAACCTTTTCTATATAATTGATATTGAAACAATGTGCTTTTGCATCCTTGTGAGAGATGACCTAGGTTGCTCCCTAAACTGCATGTTTGCGAGAAATCTAGCTTAGTTTTGATACTAGTATGACATGGATATCAGTGATAACTTAAAAAATCTAAGAAATTGAAAAACTACTTGCACTCCATCGTTGGTATTTTTCAACTCTCATTTTTTCTTTCTTTTCATTTTTTTTGCAGATTCAATGGTACTCAATTTAAATAATTATTAATTACACCATCTGACCAAAATGGCTTTCTCAACATATACAATTTACACCCATATATAACTTCTCAGCCCTAAACTTAAAATGATTACTTGTCCTCAAGCAATTTTCTAATAAAACCCCAAACATAGAATTTGCTAAGTTATCCAAACTAGTGTATATCCCAAAATGAAAATAACATATTTATATAAACTAAATTCAAGAAGTGTGCATATCCCAAAATGAGAAGCATGTGTTCTGAATTTTAAAACAAGAAAAAACAGAATAACAACTAAACAGAAAAGAGAACAAAAAGGAAAAGTGAAGCAAAAAGTGCAGTAAAATCACAGGCCGTCTTCTGCTTCATCTTCATCCTCTACAAGGTCTTCCTCATACATTAGGCATAACAAATCAGCAGAAGAAAGGCCCTTCCATTCATCATCATTAACCTGCAGGTCTTGGGCAATGCAGTCCACTTTTGTCTGTAGCTTTACTATGCCTTGCATCAGTAATTCCATTGAGGACCAAGTTGAGTTGTTGTTTGCTTGTCATTTGGGTGGAGGTGAAGGTGGAAGGTCCTGAGGGAGAGGTGGTTGGCGATCTCCTAGCAGCATGTTCAGCAAAGGCAAAGATGCTGGCTACGGTTATCCGTTTGGGCTTTTGTATAGGGATGTCATTGGAGTCTATGGCTACCTCGGCCTCTTCACATAGTAAAGTAATCACAGAGGGATAAGCCAAAGATTTTTGGTTGTCATCATCCATGATTTGCCAAATTTCTTGATGGATGATCTTCCTAATATTTAATTCTATACCCATTATTATGCAATACAGTAGCTGAGCACGCCTTAATAGCAATGTAGTGTCATGTAGAATGGGTGTGAGGGATCCAATGATGAATTGGAACCAAGCTATAGGTATGGGTAGCAGATCAGCCACCAACAGGCTTCATGGCTCAGCACTTCCCAATGGTCTCCACTTAGAACCAGGTTTGCAGAGTTCTGATTATTGCTTCATAATATGAAGTTTGCTCCAAAAGACCATTGTAGTCATCTCTTGCTGGGTTAGAGTGGGCTCTAGTGATTCTCAGGACTCGATTAATTAATCCTAGAATGAAGGACACCTTGGTACCTCTCACCATGGTATGGTACCTCTTCACTTTAAGAGTCAGAAACCTCAATTCTAGATCTCTTGGGTCTGTTGGTCATGGATTTTCTCCTCATCTGTCATAAGACCATAATTAAGAGACAATTAGCTAAGCAAAACCAGAATTTTTTCACAATGGCAAACTGAAAAACGAAAAACGAAAAACCAAAACATATCTGAAATCTAGAAAAGTAAACTGCATAAAAATGGAAAAGATTATTGTGCAATTGGCAAACTACGTAATGAAGAATGAATCAATGAGCATAAAAGAATATTGCAAAAATTTGCAGCCAGCCAAATAAGCAATAGTCAAGAATACATACTGCACAAAAATAGAAATTTTAGCAATAAAAAATCAAAGTCTGATTGTTCAAAAAGGGAGTGCAGCCAATGTTTATTAGCATTAAAATTTCTTAGACAAGAGACCATAAAAGCAAATACAATTTTCAATTTGTCATAAGAATTATGCAGCAACAACACATGTACTTGCAACTCGCAACACCTAAAACTTAAAAATAATGTGCATTCAAGTGCTATCAAACTGGAAACACTTTATGACATCTTAAGAAAAAATGAATTCCATTAAAAGGAAGCCATATCATGCTAGAAAATGATGCAGCAAAAAGAATCAAGAATGGATATGGCAACTGTGTATGAACAAGAAATTTTAGCACTGAGAAGTAAGAAATAGGCAGCACTTCATAAAACCAAGATAAAAACTTGCAAAGACAAAATTACCCAACTAAAAAACAATGAATCCTAAAATGTCAAAATTAGAAATTGGCCACTCAGTATACTTTGCAGCATGAAATTAGAATATGATAGTCATGAGGTAATATGATATTCAATAATTTAAAGGGCATGTGAAAGAGAATAGTATGTTATGCATACACTGCTATGTTGTTAGAATTATTATATAACCTTAAAATTTTTTTATCATCTACAGCACCTAGTAATTTAAAATAATATGCCTCAAAAATTGTTTAAAGCTGGAAACACTTATAACCCTTCAGGTTAAAAATGAAAATGCACCAAAAAAAAAAAACTATTAAGAATTTTGTGCATACTGTATAAACAATGAGTAAGACCAATTTTCAGAAATTCAATAACAAGGAGAATTGTATATCAAAAGAATAACATCATATATGACAATTGCGTGTGAACAGAAAAATTGGCAATGAATAAATTCTGCAGTGAAAGGGTACCAAACAGTAAGAGCAAGGAATCATAAAAAGTTTAAATTAACATTTGGGTCACGCAATAAAAGTTGCAATCATGAAGTCAACATAAAGCCAATGATTTACTAAAACCCAATAAAAATTGAAACAAACATAAGAAAGATAAAAATTATTACACCTTGTGTATGCTGTCCATTACAATGTAAAATCCCTTTTAAAAAATTGAATATTCTTATAAATATATTGACAAAAAACAAGAATTTCAAGGAGTAAATAACAATTTTAAGAGGGAATTATTAAAGAAAAGCACTTAACAGAACACATTAGAATTCATTAAATGATATAGAAATTAAGCAGAAAATTTACAAAGTACTTTCTTTTCTTTATATGGATGACGTAAAAACAGAATAATGCAGAAACAGTGAATTTAATCATGACCTAAAACTTGCAGAATGTGTATTCAATTGTGATAATAATGGAGACCCAAAATTTTTAAATTTTGCATAAAAGAAAGACTACACAAACATGATAACTGCACATTAATAACTATTGAAACACTAAACAAAACATAGTAATGATAGAAAATTGCGACAGAAAAAATAACACAAGCACAAAATCACTTTTAAAATGACTTACAAGAGATTAATCACAAAAAATAGCAACCAGAGAAGTATGCAGAAATTTTTCAACATATCTCAAAGCACACCCAAGGACCATTTATCGGTGCAGAAATAGAAAAAAGGAAAAACTTTTGTGCTCTAAATTATGCACAGTACATAGCAAGCATAAAAGCACAAATTATCACTCTTTTTATAACTTGGTAACTCTATCATGTCAAATAAACTGGCAAGCATGCACCACTGGAATATTGTAGGAGCATTGCACAATCCAAAAGGCATTCGCTGGTATGCAAATACACTGAATGAGCATGTGAAAGAAGTCTTCTCTTGATCTTCAGGGTTGACTATAATCTGGTTGTACCCAGAATAGCCATCCAAAAAGCAGTAGAACTCTTGTCCAACCAGTCTCTCTAACATTTGGTCCATGTATGGAAGTGAGAAATGATCCTTGCACGTGGCTTGGTTCAATTTCCTATAATCGATGCACATCCTTCACTCTGTCAGAGTGCGGGTGGGGATGAGCTCGTTGTTCTCATTTCTGATATCAGTAAGTCCTTCTTTTTTGGGTACCGCTTGTACCGAGCTGACTCATTCACTGTCAAAAATGGAGTAGATCATCCCTGCTACTAAGAGTTTCAACACTTCCTTCTTCACAACCTCCTTCATGGCTGGGTTTAATCTGCTCTATGTTTGCACCACAGGTGTGAATTTGTCCTCCAATTTAATCTTATGCATGCAGAATATGGGACTAATTCCCTTCAGATCTTCAATAGACCATCCTATTGCTGCCTTATGCTCCTTTAAAACTCATTAATTTTTCTTCATTCAGCTGAGAGAGTTTGTTGCTGATTATCACTGGGCAAGTCTTCTTTTCCCCCAAAAATACATATTTTAGGTGAGAGAGCAAGGGTTTCAATTCCAACTGTTGTGTTTTCACTGTGCTTGCTTCTTCCAATTCTTCAACACTTGTATTTTTCTACAACACAGGTTGGGCATCCAACTATTGCACAATCTCTTGTAACTCTTCATCACTTTCTTCATCATTGTTCATGATAGTATTGACTAGATCTTTCTTCAATGGGTCTGCATAATTTTCCTGCATCAAACCCTTTGCTGCAACAAGAGAATCCAACATGTCTACTTTGCAACAAGTGTCCTTGTCATCTGGGTGTTGCATTGCCTCAAATACTTTGAAAGTCACTTTCTCATCATGCACCCTCAGCATCAATTGACCTTGTTGCACATCAATTAGCGCTCTTCCGGTGGTTAGAAAAGGTCTTCCTAGGATCACGGGCACTTTGGAATCTTCACCAATGTCTAAGACAATAAAATTTGCTAGAAAAATTAGCTTGTCCACTTTCACCAACACTCCCTCCATTACACCATACAAGTACTTGATGGATCAGTCAGTTAGTTGGAGAGTCATTCTTGTACTTTTAACTTCACCAAATCCTAATTTCTTCAAGACAGAGAGTGGCATTAGGTTGATGTTAGCCCCCAAGTCGCATAGAGCCTTTCCAATGGTCATATTTCCTATAATGCAGGGGATTGTAAAACTGCTCAGATCTTTCAATTTTAAAGGTAATTTTTGCTGCAAAATGGCATTGCATTCTTTAGTTAAGGCTATTGTAGCATCCTCCTTCAATTTTTTCTTCTTTGAAAACAAATCCTTCATGAACTTGGCGTACAAAAGCATTTGTTCTAGTGCTTTTGCAAATGGAATATTTATGTGCAACTATCTAAAAATATCCAAGAATTTTGAAAACTGCTCCTCCTTCCTTTTGTTCTTGTGGATATGATAATTTAATATAGGGAGGAGGGACTTAAGGTTTGCATAAGTCCTCTAAAATCTACTTCTTAGATTTGTCCTAATAAGCTTCATCTACCACCAATTTTTGATTTGGTGGATTTTTCTCCTTTATTTTCTCTTTTTCAAATTCAACTTTTGGTTGCTGCTCTGCTACCTCTTCTTCTTGTCCAGCATTTGAATTATCCTCTTTTTTAAGTGGCTTTTTCTTGGATTGTGGCTCCACCACTTTCTCACCCCTTGTAATGATTGCTTGGCAAAATTCCTTTGGATTTTTCACTGTATTCTCAGAAAATGATTCTTGAGCTGGTTCATTTATTTTCTTTATAATCTGACCTATCTGATGCTTCAAGTTCTTGATGGAAGCTTCTTGATTAGCTATCCTTGTGCTTGTGTCCTACATAAATAAATTCGTAGTTTGATTCAATTGCACAAGTGCTTTCTCAAGGGATGATACCTGATCATTTGCTGGTTGATTTGGTTGTTGCATTGGTCCTGAACTTTGGAAATTTTGCTATTGCCATGGTCCTTGTTGCAGATTTTGCCTTTGTGCAGGTGGAGGATAGTGAGATTAGTTTGGTGGCCTAGCATTGAAGTTGGAATTTGGTCTAAACTGCTACTATTGAGTCGGGTAGATATTTTGTTGGAAGTTCTGTTGCTGTCACTGCGGTTTTGGATTGAAATTATGCTGCCTTGGCATGTTATTCATGAAATTCACCTGCTCAATCCCTTGTTGCTGCATAAACTCTGCTTTATCTTCACAATATTCTTCATGAAATTCCTCTTGGCCAGAAGAAGCTACAAATTGAACTTGTTTGGTTCCTTCCATTTTCATGTTTTCAAGCTTTATGTTGAGGGAATTCATCTACTGTGAGATCAGTTTATTTTGAGCTAGCAATGCATCCAAGGTGTTCAATTTTAGTACTCCTCTTTTTAAACCACTCATGTTTCTGTGGCTACAGTTGTTAGAGGTCATTACCTCTATAAGCTCACGAGATTTTGTAGGAGTTTTTAAAGCAAGTGCTCCCCTAGTAGCTGCATCTACCATAGTCTTTGTAACTACATTCAGTCCATCATCAAATGTTTTAATTTACAACCAATCGAGTAATTCATGATAGGGACAACTTCTTAAAAGCTCTTTAAATCTTTCCCAAGCCTCTTGTAACATTTTGTCATCTCTTTGTGAGAAAGCCATAATCTCTTGTCTTAACTTGGTTGTTCTAGAAGCTGGAAAATACTTTGAAATGAACTTTATTTTCAAATCTTCTCATGTGGAAATGCTCCCTTCGGGTTATGATATTAGTCATCCCTTTGCCTTATCTCTTAAGGAGAATGGAAAAAGAGACAATATGATGGCTTCATTACTAACTCCATTCATTCTAACCATATTACAAATGGCTAGGAAATTATGAATGTGTGCATAAGGATCTTCTGATGGGTGTCCCATGAACTGTTCTTATTGTATCACCCTCATCAAATATGGCCTAATCTCAAAATTGTTGGCCTGGATAGGTGGTCTTACCATAGAGGTTGGATTTTCCTGTGATCTTGCACGAGTATAATCATTGAGAGTCCTTCTCTCATCATTAGCATTAGCATTCTCTGCCATGGTTGTGGGATTTTCTTCTTGTTGGGTTTCTTCTTTTTTTGAACTTTGTCCTTTCTTTTTATTTTTATTTTTTCCAAAACTGATGATTGGTTGATTAAGGTTAGGAGATGAGTCACTTTGTTTTATTTTCTCCTTGCCTCGCATCAACCGTTTCAGCTACTGCACTTAGGTCCTTTATCAAACACCTAAAATACAACAGAAGTTATTCACTCATACTAACATATTCTCATTATCGTTAATATTAACCATTAATCTCTATGGACGATAGATCTATTTTGTTACTTTAACGATTTGGTATACTTACCAAAAAGTTATTTGCCCTCTTCACTATTACGGTAGAGCTGTGACAGACTAGCATAAAAGAGCTCAAAATGAAGATGCTTCAAACTTAGGCAGGTGGGAAGAGGTGTTTAGTGGTCATGTTTTTGAGCTAGAACTTCATGTCAAACTTCCAATTTTCTCCAGGTTTGCAAATGCCCTAGAAAATAGGCTTGTAGTCCTTGTCATCTAGATAGTTGAATTTGGTGAAGTCCAATTGCGCAGCCTATCTTTCCAAAGGTGAAATATTCAAGACCCTGTTGATGTTTGAAAGAGAGAAGTTAATCTCCACCCCTTTACCATGGAGTGCCTGTAACGTAGCTGATCACCCTTCATCCTTATGACAATTCCTGATGATCTCCTTTCACCAATTTCCTGCACAGGTTGTGAAGAGGTCCCAACCTCTCTTCTAGATTTCTTCCTGGAATTAAGGGTAGCTACCTTCCTGAATCTTAAACTTTCTATCTTGTGCTATTTGCCTTTAGAGGATGTTGGCCCTGAAATAATTCTCATAATTTGTAGATCTAAATATAGGATCATGTGCAGGTGTAGGCCTTGAGGAAGAAGCTCCAGTAGTTCAGCTTCATTTGGTCCTAGGGTTGATCTGGATGTGTTTGCCATAGAGCTGCACATAAAGAAAAGAGCAGTTAATGTGTTATGTAATACAAGCAAATAATATGCAGGTACAAGACAAGTATTCAGCAGTAAAATTCAAGAACAAATGCATGGCGATTTAGAGGAAAAATAATGTTGCAGAAGTATGAGTGCAGATGCATTGATGTAGTTAGAATGTGCAATCCAGAATGCGATTATGCAGCAAGTTCTTAATGTGTAAATGCATGACAATTTATGCAAATGGCAACAAAATGCAGATCACAGCAGATATGCAAAATTTGGCATAGTAGAGGTGCATTCCAGAGTAGTTACTGTGGATGAGTGCATTGCCAAAGCGAATACTATGAAAAATAATAGGAACTACTCTAAGATATAGACAAGTCAGGGCACTTATGTAGCAACAATGATGGTTAATTCAACAGCACAACTCAAAGCTTAGGGCAATTATGCAGAGTGCAAAGTAAATACTTTTGGTTTTAAAACATACACACAAAGTAAATACTGTTGCACAGATGAAAGTAATTACTTTTGAAGTGTAGATTTTGACAGGGAATGTCAGTGCACTTTATGGTAATGCTTCACATAAAGCAATATTAACTCAATTTCTCATGGTATGGTGAATGCAAAGTGTAAAAGCATAGTGCAATAGCAGTCCAGAAATTTTACACTATAAAACAATCTCAGAGTAATCACTATGGTATCAACATTTTACACAGAGTAACTACTTTTGTAATTAATAGTAACTACTCTAGGGTATAAACAGGCCAAGTGCAACAAAGTATAATTCAATGTAACCAAACCATGGAAAATGAAATCATAGTGTAAAGTAATCACTTTGGACCTAAAACAAACCTAGAATAATCACTATGGAATCAAAGTGACAAAGTGAACACTATAATAAGTGAAAGTGACTACTCTAGGGTTCGATCATGACACGTCAAACAAATTGGTCCATTTAATCTGTCACATTATCTTTTAATCACTCATTAAGCTCCGAAATTACAGGTTTTATTCAACAAATTCAACCTAAGGGTCCTTATTTCAATTTCCCCAATTTTCATAGTAAGAAACCCTAATCGCAGAATGGAAATGTGAGAAATTACCTGAATTAAAAGTGCATATTAAAGTAAGAATGCAGGGAATTGGTGATCCTTAATGCAGAAAATCAATGGTGAAAGAAAGTGTAGAGAATTTTTGGGAGTGAGAGTGAGAGTGCTCAGAGAAATGGTTAAAGTGAGTGAGTATGTGAGCACTTTTATATATATAGTGGTGTGGGCATAATCACTCTCAAAGGTGATAATAAACATGCGCACTTCAAATTTGAAATTTAGTGTTGTGCATGTTTACTATCATCACTGATAGTAAACACTACAGGGAACGCCAATTTTTAAAAATAAGCAAAGGTATTGCGTGTGTTTATTATGGTAAGTGAAAGTAAATATGCATACTGAAATTAGCTCAAAAAGCCTCTACGTGTTTACTTTCATCAGTGAAAATAAACATTTCGGATAGCATACCCCCTTTGTAATTCTCAAAACAGCTACGCATGTTTAATATAGTCAATGAGAGTAAACACATGCACTCAAATTAGCTCAAATCCCTTGAAAGTAACTACTATCAGTAATGAAAGTGCTCACTACATAGAGCAAAGATACATACTTGAACTGAGAGTAGTTACTACGGTCATGAAAAGTGATTACCTTCATAAACAACTCTTATTTTCTTAATCAAAGTGGTTACCTTAAGTTCTGATAGTATGCACTCTCCTGTTGCACTTGATCTATTCCTCTGCAAAAATCAGAATTATGCGAAAAAATGTATTAAATAGCAAAATGAAGTGCATAATGAAGTAGTTATGTAGAAAAATTCAAATGGAAGACCATGCTAAATGCAGAAAACTAATTAAAAACTCTAAGAAAACTTTGAGTTGCCTCTCACACAACGCTTCTTTAACGTCACTAGTTTGACATATAGACTTGATTATTTAGAACAAGAAAAATGGTTGAGGTCTAAGGTAAGGGTCTACAGATTGACCTCCTTAACTTTCTCTAGAGGGACTGAATTTTCTAGAAGTGCTTTAAGCGGTGGTCATTCACCATGAAGTTCTTGCTACTAGAATCACTCTTGATTTTCACTGCACCATTAGGAAATACTTGTATAACTGCGAATAGACCAATCAACCTTGAATGAAGCTTCCCAGGCATGAATTTAAGGCATGAATTAAACAAAATTACTTTTTGACCAACACTGAATTCCTTCCTAGCTATCAACTTGTCATGGTACCTCTTGATTCTTTTTTTATAGATTCTTGAATTCTCATAGGCATCCAAACATAATTCCTCTAACACTTGTAATTGCAACTTTCTCTACTCTCCAACTAAGTCATAATGCATATTGCAAGTCCTCATAGTCCAATAAGTCGTATGCTTAATCTTTATTGGTAAATGGCATGCTTTGCCATAGATAATCCCATATGAGGACATCCCTATAGGCGCTTTGTAAGCAGTCCTGTAGGCCTATAAAGCGTCATCTAGTCTACGGCTCCAATTTTTCCTGTGAGTTTGCATAATTCTCTCTAGTATTTTCTTTATTTCTCTATTAGAAAGTTCTATCTGCCCATTGGTCTATGGGTGCTAGGCTATGGATACCTTGTGCAATAGTCCATGTTTTCTTAGTAGAACTTTCATAATCCTGTTACAAAGTGACTTCCTTGATTGCTAATGATAGCACGAGAGATCCCAAACTTACAAAACAAATTAGCATGAACAAATCCTATAACAACTCTAGCATCATTAGTCTTAGTGGTGTTAGCCTTCACCCATTTTAACACATAATCAACAACAAGTAGTATATACAAGACACCAAAAGAGGATGGAAAAGGACCCGTGAAGTTAATACTCCAAACATCAAATATGTCACAATAAACTATAGACTGCTAAGGCATTTTATGTCTCCAGGTGATCACATTTCTTGCCCTTTGACATCTTTCAGATGTTGCATAGGCTTGTCATGAGTCTTTAAAAATAGAAGGCCAGTAGAGTCCTTAATCCAACACCTTTCTTGCTACCCTTTAAGGTCCAAGGTAGCCTTCTACAACTGAAGCATGGCAAAACTTCAATATTGAAGGGATTTCTTGGTCAGGGATGCATCTTTTGATGATTTGGTTACTGAAAAACTTTCGAGATAGGGGTCATCCCACATATAGTGCCTTGCTTCACTCTAAATTTTCTCCCTTTGAGCCCTTGGTAAGTTTGTTAGAAAAATACCTGCAGCCAGGAAATTGACTATATTAGCATACCAAGGTATATGAGAAGTGCATAACTCAAGGAGTTATTCATCAGAGAAATCATCTTTGAGAGGAATAAGTTCGGGGACTCCCTCTATCCTGCTTAAGTGGTCAGCTACTAGGTTTTGTGATCCACTTCTATTTCGAATTTCTAAGTCAAACTCTTGTAGTAAGAGCATCTATCTAATGAGTCTTGGCTTGGAGTCTGTCTTTTTTAGCAAAAACTTTAAAGCATAATAGTTTGTGAATACCACAACTTTTGACCCTAATAGATATGACCTAAATTTGTCTAAGGTAAAGACTATGGCCAGTAATTCCTTTTCAGTTGTATTGTAGTTGGATTGTGCATAGTCTAGGGTTTTAGAGGCATAATAAAATACATATG